GAAAGAAAGAAAGAAAGAAAGAAAGAAAGAAAGAAAGAAAGAAAGAAAGAAAGAAAGAAAGAAAGAAAAGAAAAGAAAGAAAGAAAGAAAGAAAATACAAAGCATACTTCTGCTCCCCCAAGCAACTTGTATGTTTCGCATGCTTTGAGGGATTGATCTGTACACACATCATACACTGGTTGGTTGGTGACATAACTGTACTTAACCTGTCTCTATCAAGCTTATGCATTGACTGGCTTTTCAGATGGTAGCAGTTTTTTCTTAACTTGCCCTGTGTATTTCTAAGGTTTTCTAACCAAGCCTGATGGGTATGTTCTCAGTCAGATACCTCAGCAAGTGCAAAAAGTTATTTTATAATCTAAAACAAAGATTGGCAAGCCTTTTCTATAAAGGACCAGTCGGTATCTTGGGCTTCCCAGGCCACACAGTGACTCAGCTCCTGCTAAGTTATAACCTAGTGCAAAACCTCCAGCAGATGATAGGTAAACAGAGGAACATAGTTGTGCTCCAATAAAGTTTTTATTTATGGACATGGAAGTTTGAATTTCATGTCAATTGTCATGTACCACAAAAGCTCCTTTCAATTTTTTTCAACCATTTAAAAATATAAAAGCTTTTTTTTAGAGAGAGATTTTTGATTTGGGGCACGTACACTCACTGAAGAGTCAGAGAGAGATCGAGAGATAGAAAGTGAAAAATCAACCCCTAGGAGGAATGGCCACCCCCGCCAATCCCTTCTCCTCCACTCTCCTCTCAGGATTTTGGGCATGCATGCACACATGCCCAGCATGAGTTTTAAGTCACAGCATCCGGGACCTGAACCTCAATTGGCTATGTGGAAGTCCAGTGACGTAACCATCATGCCACCTGCCAGCCTCTAGGCTTGATGGTTAAGGTGTTTGACTCCATAGTCTGTTAGGACCAGCAGATGGTGTAATGGTTACACTGCTTGACTCCCACCTGGCCGACTACAGTTCAAGTCCCAGACCTGAGGCTTGTTTTCTCACTTTCCTCTTCTCTCACTTTCTCTCTGTGTCTCTTTGGTCAAATTAAAAAAATAATAATAATAAATAGTAATAACAAATAAAATTAAATAAAGAAAGAATTTTTAAAAGGATGCATTTTTTAAATAAATAAAAATATAAAAGCTATTTTTAGTTTACAGGCCATACAAAAATAAGCAGAGGACCACATTTGTCCAGTGGGTTATGCTGTGCTGGCACGGATCTGAAATTAGTCCCTACAGCTCTGTTTGAATATTTGTGTAAAGAGACCTTTGGCCCCCCCTTTATTTAGGTTTCCCAAGTTCTTGGTATGAAGCAGAGGCGGTCAAAGTTTTAAATAGATAATGACTGTAAAAAGCCTTAGGTGAAGACCTTGGGCTTTGTAGGTGGCCGATAACCATTCACTGAAGGTGTTGAATAAAACATTTTCAGGTTACAAAAACTATACCTTGTTAAAATGTTTTTTTTTTTCTTTATTGCTTTTTTTATGATCTTAATTCGGTATTGGGATTTGGAGATTTATAAGTGCAAATCTAAGCCTGTTTATGAAGAGTTTTGGAGTTCCATGAAAAATGGCTTAAAAACCACAAATCCAAATGGATTCCAGTGTCTAGTCTACTTACTCCCAAGATCCGTTTCACCCTTTTCTTTTGCCAGCTCTGAACCCTGCTGTAAATATTATTTATTTCTGAGAGGACCCTGACAGGATGGAATGCGAACTGGGAACAGTGTAATCTGGCCCCACAGATCATGGGAATGTGTGGCCACACGGAAGTGCAGGCCTGGCCTCAGCAGTAATTCATGCCCCCCTAATGAGCTTGTGGAATGCCAGCTTGTTGGCTGAATTCAGAGAAACAAAGGATCCTGGCTGAGATTCATTTGTCAAAGGCTGTCCTTAGCTTGTTTGTAAATGCAGCTGTCTGGGGAGAGAAATGGCCGTCAGGGCAGCAGAGGTCGGACACCTCATCCCAAAGGTCAGTTTTCTAGAGCACCAAACCCACCCCAGGGAAGGCAGAGGTGATCTGCTACATGGGAGTCCCTGATAAATGCCCGTTTTCTGTCTGTTTTTATTTTTAAAGAATTGCTTATTTAATTTTATTTATTATTATTATTTTTAAATTTGCTACAGGCACATGTGCTCATGAGAGAGTGAGAGAGAGAGGAAGAGAAAAGGAAAGGGAGAAAGCCACCAGGTCTGGGACTCAAACTGCAGTCAGCCATGTGAGAGTCCAGCACCGCAACCACCATGCCACTTGCTGGCCCTCAAAACATCCATTTTTCTAATGAAGGCCCATTACATGGTACAACTCACTTCAGAGGTCCAGGAAAATAGTGTGCTTGAGTGGTCTGGAGTTTTAGAATAAGAGATATCCTTCCGAATTCCTTGATTCCACCTCTTCCGTCTACCTCTGGGAAGATCCTCAAAACATTGGAGTTGACCACATTCAATTTGGCGTCTGAACATCAGACATTCTGCATTTCCTGTTCTCATCATTTACTACTATAGAAAGTCATTTCTGCTGTATTAGTCGCTAGTGTGTGACTCTAGCTCCAGAGTTGTTTTCTGCTGAATGACTTTGACTTATAAACATACCTTGTAAATATACTGTTTTTCTGAATAATGTTAATAAAATGTCAATTTAGAACATACAAAACCCTGGAAGAAGGCTTTTATCTAAATAACACAGGGGGGGACCAGGAGTTGGTGTAATGGCTATGTCTCTGGACTCCCATGTAGTTGACTGCAGTTCGAGTCCAGGACCCGGTGGCTTAAACTCATGCCAGGCGCATGTGTGTGTGTGCTCAAGATCCTGAGAGGAGGGAACCAGCAGTTAGCGTAATGGCTATGTTGCTGGACTCCCACGTAGTCGACCGCAGTTCACGTCCCAGACCCGGTGGCTTAAACTCATGCCAGACGCGTGTACGTGCATGCCCAAGATCCCAAGAGGAGAATGGAGGAGAAGGGATTGCGGCGTGACCATCCCCCCTGGGGGGTGATTTCTCGCTTTCTGTCTCTATGTCTCTCTCTGTCTGTCTGTCTGGCGAGCACACGCGCCCTATAGCAAAAACCTCCCCTCACCCCCCCCCCAAAAAAAATAGTACAGGGTCTAAGGCCTAATTCTACCATGTTCTAGAATCTTGAAGATCAAGTGGAATGTGAGAAATTACCCATGAGGGGCGTAGCTACACTGTACTCTCTTCTCCTCCAGTCTCCTCTCGGGATTTTGAGTACACGCACATACTCACCTGGCATGAGTTTTAAGCCACTGAGTCGCCAGGTCCAGGACTCAAAACTGTGGTGAACTATGTGGGAATCCAGCAATGTAACCATTACACCATCTGCTGGTCCCAAATAAACTTTTAAATTACCGATCACACAAAAAGCAAACTAACTTTTTCATCATCTGAAAGTTTGGATTCTATAACTTTCTTTTTTAAAAAAACTTATAATTTAATTTTATTAACAATTATTATTATTATTTAATTTGACCAGAGAGAGATGTAATGTGAGAAAGCAAGCCTCCCGGTTTGGGTCTTGAATTGCAGCCAACCACGTGGGAGAGTCCCTCAATCACCACATCACCTGCAGGCCCCAGAATCTATAACTTTCTAAAAGGCTATTTGGCCCTAGATATTATTACACTATATATTTACATTTTGATGGCTATATACAAATTACAT